AAAAAAAAAAAAAAGAGTTTAAATTTGCTGGCAACAAGATAGAATCCGAAATAACATGTTCAAATAAGGTCCCGACAGTTTTTACAAATTGAACATATTTGTTAGATTATTCACTCTTGAAGCAACGCACGGGCCTTTCTCGACCAAACATCATAAATCTCATTCGAGAACAGAACAAAATGCACCTGAAATGCAAAATTTGATGGTGATGATTAAATGTCAGCTGGCAAATTTGTGAAAAAGAGAAATAAAAAGTAGCATTCTTTCAAGTTTTCATGAACATAAAGTTCTTACCTTTACATGTGAAAATATCCAGCACAAGAAAGATAAAGCAAATGTTACTTCCATTCCCAAATTCATTCTACTATAAGACATTCCGACAAATATTCAAGACACAACACAAAGATTCAAGAAAATTTAGGTTCAAATACAACTAATAAAAATGGTTCGAAAAAAGAAATTACCTCTTTGAAGTAGAGTCGATCTCAGTTTCTCGGAGCATGAAATTGAATTAATACATGACAAATTAATAATAATTTTTTTATTGAACAATTGTAACTATTTTTTTTATAAAGACGTACCATTATAGATTTGAGATACCACCGAGTTGGATGAAGCAGCACCATCTTTCACATATTCTTGTATATGGTGCATCAAGACTTCATGACAAGAGAATTTTTTTTTAAAAAATACATATATAGAAAAATGTTGTATTAATACTATTTATCAAACACACAAAAAAAAAAAAATAATGTTACCTCTTTTGAGGAATTTGATTTTTTGGAGTTCTTAGAAAACTTTTCGACCCAACCCTTTGGCCGCTTTGTTCTTCTTCTCCCGTCCCTTTTCTTCAAACCTTTCATATTCTCAAGTTTGTCTTCTATGTTGAACGAAGGAACTTCTTCATTTGCTCTCTCATTTTTTGTTGTAAAAGCAAAAATTTGCTTATTACATTCACTCACCATTTTCTCCATGCAATTGCGTGTGACTTCATGGGTGGAAGCTTGAAGTGTCATCCGTAAGAGTTGAGATTAAAGCCTTTGAACCCATTCCGTAACATTCTCCACGCTATTAGAATTTTCTTTGTACAAGGTTTGGGCACTTTTCACTCCTTTTGTCCATCTTGCCAATATGTACTTTTGTGGAATGCACATTACGTCTTGAACAATAAATATTTTCAAGATATGGCAACACAATATTCCCATAATTTCAAACTTTATGCAACTACAAACAATCCACTCTTTTGTAGGATCAAAGAGTACCTTCATCTCTTTCTCTCTTGAACCATAAAGACATACCACGTATTCATGCGGACTTCGGGTGTCATCTTTTCTTTCTATTATCACTCTTAAAGAAGCACGAAATTCGATATGGAAAAGAGTAAATATTTCGGGAGTGTACAATTGCAAACTTGCATCAACAACAAAGAATCATAAGATTCCAATGGAGACAACTTTTGTCTCGCATCAAAGTCGGCTTTAAGTTCTCGTTCTCTTTTTTCATCGACAACCCTATCAAACTGTTTGAAAAAATCAGAAATATTCAAATCACATTTCAAGTAGGACTTCAAGTCACTATTCAAGCTCTCACTCAGCTGTGTGCTTCTTATTCCCAAGGTAAATACATATTTCATATAATATTTGGCCCATTTTTCCTTTACGTCGTACGTACGAGATAACCATTAATTATTGTGCAAATCATAACGATCAAGTAAATTTTTCCATTCCCTTTCAAAATCATCCTCTTCTAGATATTCAAACATGCACCTCTTGAACTCCGTTAAAAAAGAAGAATCGTCTTTCATACGCCAACCCAAATGTTTGATCCCATTTTGATTCAAATGCCACGTGCATAGCCCATGTCGAGTATTTTTCAATACTTCTGCCAAAGCATTCGCCATAGCCGCATCTTGATCCGTAAAAATAGTTTGAGGCTTTTTACCTCCATGAGCATTTAAAAAAGTTTCAAAAAGCCAAGCAAATGAATCAGCGGTCTCATCGTATAAAAGTCACTCCCGAAAATGACCATCTGCCTATGATGATTAAATCCTATAAATACACCCAAGGGCCTCAATTCTTTGTTTGTTCCGTAGGTTGTGTCAAATGTAACTACATCACCAAAATCACCATAATCAACAATCATCCTAGAATCAGCCCAAAATATATTAGTGACTAGTTCGTCACTGTCAAATTGCATTGAATAAAAAAATGAAGGGTCTTTATTTTTCTCTGCTCAAAGTATCTTACTATACCTCCCAACTCTCCATACACCATGTGTTTTTCTCTTTTCGACCGAAAATAAGTCTTTTGATCTTCTATTATGTATCCGAGCTTGTCCCAACCCCCTGTTTCTCTGATCATCAAGTGACGTGTTGCTTTTGGGGTAAGCCCTGCATCATGTGCCAAATCAATTGCAGCCGCGGCTGCCTGACTCAGTTGCCTATGGGATCGTAACATGTGACTCGTCTCTGCAGGCTCAAGGTCATGATTATGTTCTCGAACAAATTCTTTGATCTTGTATTTACCACTTGACCTCTCCAAAATTACATTTAATTTAGCTTTGCATGACGTTCTTTCTTCCCATAGATGCACAACTCCTACCCTTCTTTTGTCTTCAGCTCTTTTACCCTCTTTACGACAAACGAAGACTGCATTATTATATGCTCCATCTTTTTGGCTTTTGTTGCGATAATGTATTCTAACTCCAAATCTCATTTACTTTCCATAATTATGCCAGAAATCCCATGCTTCATCAAGAGTATCAAATAGCATTCCAATTCTTGGTCCCTCATTCTGACTGGTATTTAGAAAGTTACCGTATGTGACATCTTCAACCATTTGCCCCCTTATCAATACGAGAATTTTTTTTTCAAAACTCACGTCTTTTGCACCATCCTCAAAGCTCAAATTACTCCTACATAAAAGTATATACACACAAAATTTAGATAATAAAATATATTCATTTAGCAAAGAAATAAGTTATAACACAATTTTCTTCCCTCAAACATACAAAATATATTATCTGTATTATCACAATTGAAATTTTAATACACATAACACTTCACCATGTATTGCTATTGATGCCATCTCAAGTTTTTTTGCTTATGGGATGTCTGGAACAAGAATTCACACACGTTAGTTGCCTTTCCTGATGAAGTTTCTAGAATTTACATCTTTTTTATTCTCTTTAGCTTCATAATATCCCGTTGAAGCTGAAAATCGAAATTGTCGCATGTATTGCTATTGAAGCCATCTCAATTTTAGAGAAATTACACTTAGGTCTCTCGAAAAAAAAAAACAATAGGATGTTATCAACTCTTTTTTGTAAGGTGGCTATTGTTGTAGTTTTGTATTCAATAATGTCAGTAAGCAAAGTAAGAAATATTACACTGTTTTCTTCATATTTTAATACTATAAACAAAACGAACGGGTCACGCATCTTGTCAGTTCTATCACACACTCTTTCTCTCTCACGCACTATCACACCACAAGAAAACGCGCAGATGGGCGTTGCAGAGCGAGACATAGATGATCTGCCCCAAAACCCAGCTAACTACACGGCGTTGACGCCTCTCGGGTTCCTGGAGCGAGCCGCCCTCGTCCACCCGACCCGTAAATCCGTCATCCATGGCTCCGTCTCCTACACCTGGCACCAGACCTACCGCCGGTGCCGCCAGCTCGCCTCCGCCCTCACCAACCGCGGCGTCACCTTCGGTAGCACCGTGAGTGTCTGCGTTATCATTTTCTATTTAAATTGTTTTCTCCGTGGATTTTCAAAGGTCGGATAATGTCCTGGAATTTTCTACTGATTTTTGAAATTAGGAGATCCTGTTGTATTTTAATCTGATTTTTCTTGCACAACCATTTTGAAGACTATATAATCTGGGGAAAGGCTAAGGTCCCGTTACGGAACCATTCCGTCAGAGATAGTTGATCTAACAGTTACAAACCTTGACGGAATGGTTCGTAACGGGACCGTAGTATCTTTCTATAATCTGACATCAAGAGGCATGTAAAGGAAGGATAACTGATTTGAGTGGCTATTATGAGTGCTTTTTTACAATGGAGAAGAGAATGAATGTCACACACTTCCTATCCAGCAATATGTAGTAATAAACTGACTGAGATATTTTGAAGCTAACACTTAATTTAGATATGACATATGTTTCAGTCATATATTAATGCAACTTTCTGTGAGAATTTATGATGACCAACTTGCTGTCCTGTGCTTGTTCTGTTCAGGTGGGAAATTAAAATTGAGGAAGGGCTAAAAATTAAAAGACAGTTGTATCTTTGCTTAGCTTAACATAATGTGAGAATTAATGAAATAGTTAATTTAATTAATCAGGTGTACTTAATATTAAGAAAGAAAGATTGCTAATGCGGAACCTGGCACGGGTTAACAGCCGCGTTCCCCAACGAGTTTTTAAGGAAAATCAAGAGAAAGATTGGATTTTTAGGCCTTCCCAGTTTCTTGGTAGAAATTGAAATTGGCCATTGTTATTATTTTTCCAATGGGAAAAGGCTAGTAACATACACTTTGAGCCAAAAAGATGACACTTCACCGAAAATAATTAGTATAGTTTCATTGACTGTAAAGTACGCTGCTTGATGGTGAGTATCTGGGAGTGAATGTCCCCGGTTCATGTTGTTTTATTTTCTTCCTTTGTTTTTATTTTCTTCGTAATTTTCAGGTCTCAGTGATTGCACCAAACGTCCCAGCCATGTATGAAGCTCATTTCGGGGTCCCAATGGCCGGTGCTGTCCTAAATGCCGTCAATGTCCGGCTGAATGCCCAAACAATCGCTTTTCTCCTGGGACACTCCCAGTCCTCAGTCATAATGGTCGATCAAGAATTCTACTCTTTAGCAGAGGAAGCTCTCAAAATCATGGCCGGCTCGGGAAAATCTGAATCTGCTCCTACTCCCATTCTGATTGTCATTGCAGATGAAGCCTGTGACCCGGAGTCCCTCCGCCACGCGCTCAGTAAAGGAGCCATCGAGTACGAGAAGTTTCTTGAAACGGGCGACCCGGAATTTGCTTGGAGTGCCCCGCAGGACGAGTGGCACAGTATCACGCTGGGATACACATCGGGCACGACGGCTAGTCCCAAAGGGGTGGTCCTGCACCATAGAGGAGCGTATCTCATGGCCCTCAGTAATGCGGTCGTGTGGGGGATGGGAGAAGGGGCCGTTTACCTGTGGACTCTGCCGATGTTTCATTGCAATGGGTGGTGCTTCACCTGGACGCTGGCGGCGCTTTGTGGGACGAGCGTGTGCCTTAGGCAGGTACGGTTTTGATGTCAATTTGCTGAAAATATTTGTTTTGGAATTTGTGTCTCCAGGCAATCCATGTCTTAAATGGTTCATACTAGAAAAATCGGGAAAAAGTAGCTAAGAGTTCTTGAGTCAGTTTGATGTCATGCAACGTCATTAGTGTTGGTCAAGTGATGAAGGTGCCTTTGTTAACTGATGAGTGAGGATTTGTGTGAAGCTTTCAACTATGTGTCGCTAAACGTGCACACTAATTGGCTAAGGGGGTGTTTTCAAAGCACTACTAATTTCTAATTCTTAATTACCTTTACCTGCAGATGCTAATATGCTATAGCTCAAACACAGAAGTTCTTCCAAACCCTCCCTAAGATAGCTTCTAATCTCCTACTATCTGTTTATTTTAAAATGTACCTCAACCCATCTGTACTTTTTTTTTTTCTTTTATATTTCAGTTGTAAGGGAAATACCTAATGCCTTAGAAACTGAGAGATCTAGGTACCAAACTCTGTATCATCCAATACATACATTACCTTTATATAAAGAGCTCGCTGCACCACTTGAGCTACAAGCTCAACCCATCTTTATGCTCGAGCACGCATACTTATATAAATGCTCGCTTGTGAAATAGCTGGTTCATGCAAATTTAAATTTCAGGTCACAGCTAAAGGCGTCTACTCAGCCATATCGACCCTCGGCGTGACCCACTTCTGTGCGGCGCCCGTCGTCCTCAACACTCTCGTCAACGCCCCGAAAAACGAAACCGTCCTTCCCCTCCCCCGACTCGTCCACGTCATGACCGCCGGCGCCGCCCCTCCGCCCCCAGTCCTCCTCGCCATGTCGGAGCGCGGCTTCCGTGTCACCCACACATACGGCCTTTCCGAGACCTATGGCCCGTCCGCCATCTGCGCATGGAAGCCCGAGTGGGACTCGCTCCCTCCCGACTCCCGGGCCCGCCTGAACGCCCGCCAGGGTGTCCGATACGTCTCCCTCGAGGGCCTCGACGTCATATCCACCCAGAACTCAACACCTGTCCCTCCCGACGGGAAAACCGTGGGCGAGATCGTGTTCAGGGGCAATGTCGTCATGAAAGGGTACCTTAAAAATCCCAAGGCCAATGAAGAGGCGTTTGCGGGCGGGTGGTTTCACTCAGGGGACTTGGGCGTGAAGCACCCGGACGGGTACATCGAGATCAAGGACCGGTCGAAGGACATCATCATATCGGGTGGGGAGAATATAAGCAGCGTGGAGGTGGAGAATGTTCTGTACGGGCACTCGGGGATTTTGGAGGTGTCGGTCGTGGCCCGGCCCGACGAGCAGTGGGGGGAGTCCCCGTGTGCGTTTGTGACGCTGAAGCCCGGGGTGGATGTGAGTGACGAGGGGCGGGTGGCAGAGGACATATTGAGGTTCGCGAGGTCGAGGATGCCCGGTTATTGGGTCCCCAAGTCGGTTGTGTTTGGGCAGCTGCCGAAGACGGCGACTGGAAAGATACAGAAGCATTTGCTGCGGGCCCGGGCGCGGGAAATGGGGCCCGTGAAGAGGAGCAGGCTGTGAGTGGGGTGAGTTTGTATTTTTTCTGTGCTGGTGTTTTGGATCAGATGATGATGCCTTGTTGAAAGATCGGTGGTTTGTTTGATGTAGAAAGGAAATGTTCGAGAGAAGTGGCATTCAGTATGTAATATTGATCTTGCAAACTTACATGTATCACAGTTACACTGGGTTTTTGTTTCATAAAAGAGGTAAATACAACCTCAAATGGACAAGAAAGTATTTGTAATGTTGGTATGAAAGTATTTGTAATGTTGGTATGAAATATGGATCCCTTTTTTTTTCCTTATCTTTTGTGATAAGTAGACTAAATTCATCATCATTCATCACTCTTGGTCATATCTCATATGTAAAGTTGGTAGAATCCATTGTTACCTAAAAACAAGCTAATAGAATAATAGGCATTGTACATCATGTTTTATTGTATTGTACTTTTTTAGCTTTATTAGATAGGTTTATTTGTTATGTAAACGTGTTATTTCTCATTAACACTTTTAGTTACTTACCTTTTGTATAAATAGCTCATAGAATCCCTAAAAGTCTCATTCATTCATTGAATAAAATTTCTGCACAGTTTTTCTTTCTCTGGTTCATCTTCTATCTTCCTCTCTCTCTCTCTCTATCTCAGATCTAAACTTTCAATCTAATATGGTATCATTCGACCATAGATCATGATATTCCGCTGCTCAATCGATCCTAAATCGCTCTATTTCTCATCGATATCGTTGATTTCGCTTTACATCGAGTATCATGTTGTTGAATCCCTCCGATGATCCGACGTCGCCGTACTTTCTACATCCCAGCGAAAATCCCGGTGCACTCATCGTCGCGAAGTTGTTCAACGGAGATAACTATGCGTCCTGGTCACGCGCCGTCTTCATGGCGCTCAGCGTCAAAAACAAACTAGGGTTTGTCGACTCTACTCTGCCTACTCCTAATCCTACTCAGAATCCTAACCTCTCCATGTCATGGATTCGTGCTAATAATCTTTTATTGTCATGGCTATTGAACTCTGTTAACAAAGATATTAGACAATCCTTACTGTTTTTTACGATTGCTCATGATGTCTGGGAGGAATTGAAATCTCGCTATGCTTTGTCTAGTGGTCCTAGGGTTTTTCACCTTGAGAAATCGCTTAGTACCATAGATCAGGGAAATTTATCTGTCACTCAGTATTATAGCAATTTCAAGTCTCTGTGGGATGAATATGTTATGTATCGTCCGATTTTCAAATGTATTTGTGGTGCTTGTAATGACTGTACCTGTAAAATCTTTGAAGCCATGGCTACTGCTCAGAATCACGATTCTGTCATGAAATTTCTAATAGGCCTTAATGAATCTTACTCATCTTTGAGGAGCCATTGTTTACTGTCAAATCCATTACCACCACTTGCCACTGTCTATTCTCTCCTTCTCCAAGACGAAAACCAAAGAACTCTCTCTAACACCACAAAGCCAGCAGATGCTCTTGCAATGTTAGCCAAATCAAACAAACCTCCTCACACTTTCTCAAACAAACCTAATTTCACTAAACCATCAAACAAATCCCCTTATCCAAATGACAGAAATCCTTCTACTGACAGACCTAAACCAAAATGCAGCAATTGTGGCTATCTTGGCCATACAGTTGACAGATGTTACCAAATCATTGGATATCCCTCTAACTGGATTGGACCTCGTGGTCCTAGAGTTGCTAAAAAACACTCTGCTCATGCTGTTATTACTGATACTCCATCTCTTACTTCTGACAAAACAAACACTGATGTATCTTCCATGACTGACCGTTTGTTTACTCAGTTTCTAGCATTTAAGAAATCACAGGAGGCAGCACAAGGTAATTCTAGTGCTCCTGTGGTTGCTACTGCTTTTGCTGAGCTTTTAGGTATTTCTAAACCATCTCTATGTATGATTGCTCAGAATTTATCCAAAAATACATGGATTCTTGACATTGGTGCTACTGATCACATGTTGTGTACATCTGATTTCTATACTTTTCCTGCTGCATGTGCATCTGCCAAAATCACATTGCCAAATGGAAATCATGCTACTGCATCTCATATTGGTCAAGTCAAACTTGCTGAATCTCTGATATTGCATGATGCATTATTTATGCCATCTTTTTCATTTAATCTTATATCTGTTTCCAAATTAACTGCCACAAATAATTGCATTGTCAAATTTCTGTCCTCATCTTGCATTATACAGGACCTGTCAAACCTGAGAGTGATTGATTCTGCTGATCTTAAAGATGGACTTTATCATCTTTCTTTAGACTCTAACACTGTTTTACTGAATACTGTCAATACAAATGATTTACATGTAACCTCTTCTTTACCTGTAAGCTCTCAGTCATATGTAAACTCTCATTTACCTGTAAGCAAAGTTGATTCTTCCATTTGGCACTACAGACTTGGACATCTTTCTTATCCTAAGCTTCAAACTCTTTCTTTGTCAACAAACTCTTGTAAACAAACATTACCATGTGATGTATGTCATTTCTCTAGACAGAAAAGACTTCCTTTTCAAGAAAGTACATCCATCTCTGATTCTCCATTTCATTTAATACATTGTGATGTTTGGGGACCCTTTTCAGTCCCATCTCACTCAGGCCATAAATATTTTCTTACAATTATTGATGATTACAACAAACTTGGATTTATCCTGTTATTTTCAAATCTGACATCAAATAACATCTAAATCATTTTTACAACATGGTGCTCACTCAGTTTGATAAGAAAATAAAAATAATAAGAACTGACAATGGCTCTGAGTTCTTTCTTAGACAATTTTATACTGATCATGGCATTATACACCAAACTTCTTGTGTTGAAACCCCTCAACAAAATGCTAGAGTAGAAAGAAAACACCAACACCTTTTACAAGTAGCAAGGGCCATTTTATTTCATGCTCATTTGCCTTTACAATTCTGGATTGATTGTGTGCTTGCTGCTGCACACATCAACAGAATTCCAACTCCTATTCTCAATCAAAAATCACCTTTTGAAATGCTTTATCAAAAACCTGCTACTTATAATCACATGAAAGTTATTGGATGTTTATGTTATTCTTCCACTTTAGTTGCAAACAGAAACAAATTTGATAACAGGGCTTCTAAGTGCATATTTCTTGGGTATCCTTTAGGTTGTAAAGGTTATAAACTTTACAACCTTGATACCAAGAAAATATTAATTTCCAGGAATGTTATATTTTATGAAATAGTTTTTCCCTTTGCATCTTCTTCACCCACTAACTCTCATACACTTTTATTTCATCATCCTGATCCTCAAACTATCTTTGATAACATTACTGTTCCCCATTCTCATCCATCAACTATAACTACTAATAATTCTTCATCATTCAGTCCTCATCCTCACAGCCCTTCACATATTTCACCCATCTCAAATCCCCACACTCATACACCAGACATCTCATCTATCATTCCTTTACCTCAAAACATCCCTTCTAACCCTTCACCTGTTAGAAGAAGATCAAACAGAACTACTAAGATACCTGCCTACTTAGATGTCTACAAACATTCTCTCAACTCTCAAAGTGCTTCTTGCTGTATAAATACTGTTTCAAACATTCCTGGAACATCTCCTTACCCTATATCTAACTTTCTATCTACTAGCCAATTATCTGATTCTCATAGCTGCTTTTCTGCAATGATTTCCTCTATTTCTGAACCCAAAACTTATAAACAGGCTTCTAAAGATCCTCTATGGCAAGAGGCAATGAACAAAGAGTTAAAAGCTTTAGAACAAACCAATACATGGGTTCTTACTGATTTACCAAAAGGAAAACGTTGCATAGGATGTAAATGGGTTTTTAAAATCAAATACAAATCAGATGGCACCATTGAAAGATATAAAGCCAGATTAGTTGCAAAGGATTACACACAAGAAGAAGACATTGATTTTTTTGACACTTTTTCTCCTATTGCCAAAATAACAACTGTGAGATTTCTTGTTGCATTAGCATCTCTTAAAAACTGGCATATTCATCAACTAGATGTCAATAATGCATTTTTGCATGGAGACTTAAATGAAGAAGTTTATATGACTGTTTCTCCTGGTTATTGTTCTTATTCTGAAACCAGAGTTTGTAAGTTAACCAAAAGCCTTTATGGCTTAAAGCAAGCTTCAAGGCAATGGTTTCAAAAATTGACATCTTGTTTGCTTAAATATGGTTTTAGCCAGTCTAATGCTGATTGTTCATTGTTCTTCTTGTCTAATTCTGAATCCATAACTATTTTGCTTGTATATGTTGATGATATTATACTGGCTGGGAATAATATGTGCACTATTAATGCTATCAAGTCCCATTTGGACCAATGTTTTACTATAAAAGATTTGGGAAAACTTAAATACATTCTTGGACTTGAGTTTGCACATTCTTAAAAAGGCATTCACATGTGTCAAAGAAAGTATGCCCTAGACATATTAAATGACACTGGTTTACTTGCTTGCAAACCTTCTGTAACTCCCATGGATGCATCTTTAAAACTCAGTAAGAATGACAATACCCCTGCTCTTGAAAATCCTTCTGAATACAGAAGACTTGTGGGTAAACTTTTGTATCTAACCATCAGTAGGCCTGATATTGCTTATTCTGTTCAATCTTTAAGTCAATTTCTGTCTAACCCTACTAGCATTTTCAATCAGCTCAGAGGATACTCAGGTATGTAAAGGGTACAATTGGTCAAGGTATACTCTTTCCTAGATCCTCTAAGTTCCATATTTCAGCATATTCAGACAGTGACTGGGCTTCTTGCATTGATACTAGAAAAAGTGTAACTGGCTACTTAATTTTTCTTGGTGATTCTCTAATTTATTGGAAATCAAAGAAACAACCTACTATAAGTAGGTCTTCTGCAGAAGCAGAGTATAGAGCTCTTGCTTATACTACATGTGCAATCCAATGGCTCTTATCTCTATGTGTTGAATTACATATTCCACTCACTACACCTGTCTCTCTGTTTACAGATAGCAAGTCAGCCTTAGCCA